ATCACACAGGTCAAACGTTTTTTGTAAGTCTTCACAAGGTTTTCACACACTGTTGCTGGTATTTTGGACCAGTCCTCCATGCAGATCTCCTCTAGAGCAGTGATGTTTTGGGGCTGTCGCTGGGCAACACGGACTTTCAACTCCCTCCAAAGATTTTCTATGGGGTTGAGATCTGGAGACTGGCTAGGCCACTCCAGGACCTTGAAATGATTATTACGAAGCCACTCCTTCGTTGCCCGGGCGGTGTGTTTGGGATCATTGTCATGCTGAAAGACCCAGCCACGTTTCATCTTCAATGCCCTTGCTGATGGAAGCAGGTTTTCACTCAAAATCTCACGATACATGGCCCCATTCATTCTTTCCTTTACACGGATCAGTCGTCCTGGTCCCTTTGCAGAAAAACAGCCCCAAAGCATGATGTTTCCACCCCCATGCTTCACAGTAGGTATGGTGTTCTTTGGATGCAACTCAGCATTATTTGTCCTCCAAACACGACGAGTTGAGTTTTTACCAAAAATGTATATTTTGGTTTCATCTGACCATATGACATTCTCCCAATCCTCTTCTGGATCATCCAAATGCACTCTAGCAAACTTCAGACGGGCCTGGACATGTACTGGCTTAAGCAGGGGGACACGTCTGACTCTGCAGGATTTGAGTCCCTGGTGGCGTAGTGTGTTACTGATGGTAGGCTTTGTTACTTTGGTCCCAGCTCTCTGCAGGTCATTCACTAGGTCCCCCCGTGTGGTTCTGGGATTTTTGCTCACCGTTCTTGTGATCATTTTGACCCCACGGGGTGAGATCTTGCGTGGAGCCCCAGATCGAGGGAGATTATCAGTGGTCTTGTATATCTTCCATTTCCTAATAATTGCTCCCACAGTTGATTTCTTCAAACCAAGCTGCTTACCTATTGCAGATTCAGTCTTCCCAGCCTGGTGCAGGTCTACAATGTTGTTTCTGGTGTCCTTTGACAGCTCTTTGGTCTTGGCCATAGTGGAGTTTGGAGTGTGACTGTTTGAGGTTGTGGACAGGTGACTTTTATACTGATAACAAGTTCAAACAGGTGCCATTAATACAGGTAACGAGTGGAGGACAGAGGAGCCTCTTAAAGAATAAGTTACAGGTCTGTGAGAGCCAGAACTCTTGCTTGTTTGTAGGTGACCAAATACTTATTTTCCACCATCATTTGCAAATTAATTAATTAAAAATCCTACAATGTGATTTTCTGGATAATTTTTTCTCAATTTGTCTGTCATAGTTGACATGTACCTATGATGAAAATTACAGGCCTCTCTCATCTTTTTAAGTGGGAGAACTTGCACAATTGGTGGCTGACTAAATACTTTTTTTCCCCACTGTATATATACACACACACACACAGTGAGGGAAAAAAGTATTTGATCACCTGCTGATTTTGTACGTTTGCCCACTGACAAAGAAATTATCAGTCTATAATTTTAATGGTAGGTTTATTTGAACAGTGAGAGACAGAATAACAACAATAAAATCCAGAAAAACGCATGTCAAAAATGTTATAAATTGATTTGCATTTTAATGAGGGAAATAAGTATTTGACCCCTCTTTAAAACATGACTTAGTACCCTTGTTGGCAATCACAGAGGTCAGACGTTTCTTGTAGTTGGCCACCAGGTTTGCACACATCTCAGGAGGGATTTTGTCCCACTCCTCTTTGCAGATCTTCTCCAAGTCATTAAGGTTTCGAGGCTGACGTTTGGCAATACGGACTTTCAGCTCCCTCCAAAGATTTTCTATTGGGTTCAGGTCTTGAGACTGGCTAGGCCACTCCAGGACCTTGAGATGCTTCTTACGGAGCCACTCCTTAGTTGCCCTGGCTGTGTGTTTTGGGTCGTTGTCATGCTGGAAGACCCAGCCACGACCCATCTTCAATGCTCTTACTGAGGGAAGGAGGTTGTTGGCCTAGATCTCGCGATACATGGCCCCATCCATCTTCCCCTCAATACGGTGCAGTCGTCCTGTCCCCTTTGCAGAAAAGCATCCCCAAATAATGATGTTTCCACCTCCATGCTTCACGGTTGGGATGGTGTTCTTGGGGTTGTACTCATCCTTCTTCTTCCTCCAAACACGGCGAGTGGAGTTTAGACCAAAAAGCTCTATTTTTGCCTCATCAGACCACATGACCTTCTCCCATTCCTCCTCTGGATCATCCAGATGGTTATTGGCAAACTTCAGACAGGCCTGGACATGCGCTGGCTTGAGCAGGGGGACCTTGCGTGCGCTGCAGGATTTTAATCCATGACGGCATAGTGTGTTACTAATGGTTTTCTTTGAGACTGTGGTCCCAGCTCTCTTCAGGTCATTGACCAGGTCCTGCCGTGTAGTTCTGGGCTGATCCCTCACCTTCCTCATGATCATTGATGCCCCACGAGGTGAGATCTTGCATGGAGCCCCAGACCGAGGGTGATTGACCGTCATCTTGAACTTCTTCCATTTTCTAATAATTGCGCCAACAGTTGTTGCCTTCTCACCAAGCGGCTTGCCTATTGTCCTGTAGCCCATCCCAGCCTTGTGCAGGTCTATAATTTTATCCCTGATGTCCTTACACAGCTCTCTGGTCTTGGCCATTGTGGAGAGGTTGGTGTCTGTTTGATTGAGTGTGTGGACAGGTGTCTTTTATACAGGTAACGAGTTCAAACAGGTGCAGTTAATACAGGTAATGAGTGGAGAACAGGAGTGCTTCTTACAGAAAAACTAACAGGTCTGTGAGAGCCAGAATTCTTACTGGTTGGTAGGTGATCAAATACTTATGTCATGCAATAAAATGCAAATTAATTACTTAAAAATCATACAATGTGATTTTCTGGATTTTTGTTTTAGATTACGTCTCTCACAGTTGAAGTGTACCTATGATAAAAATTACAGACCTCTACATGCTTTGTAAGTAGGAAAACCTGCAAAATCGGCAGTGTATCAAATACTTGTTCTCCCCACTGTATGTATGTGTGTGTGTATATATATATATATATATATATATATATATATATATATATATATATATATATATATATATATATATATATATATATATATATATATATATATATATATATATATATATATATATATATATATAGTATGTATGTGAGAGAGAGAATAAATGAATCTCACAATTGGTCTATATAATTTTATATTGGCCTATGACTTTCATATATCTCTCTCTCTTTTGCGTTTCGATATAATTAAGTGTGTGTGTGCTAAGCTAAGGTTAACCTATTGCAGTTTACCTCTTTAGTCACTCAACAGAGCACATATTCATTATAAGAGCTGATGCTGATGCTAACCCAGTGTGTTTTATAGCATTCCCCAATGAACAGGGCTCTGGAATGAAATTTCCCCTAGTAGGTACAGATCTAGGATCAGATTTAGGACCTTACTTTAACCATCAGTGTGGAACATGCAAAACTGACTCAAGATCAGCATCTAGGGCAACTTCACCCTAAAGCTCACCCAGTATATTTGATAGCATTCATTCTCCCAGTGAGCAGGAAGTTGCAGTGTGGCTCTTAACCAGGAAGAGGAAGTGGCAACAACATTGAATGTTTGTCTACACTCGACTCATCGCATGTTTCATTCTGTGGCCGCTCCATCAATCATTGTCACATCTCTACCACCATCCGGCAATGTCTGTCTGTCTTTCGCTCTCTGTGTCTCTGTCTGTCTTTCTGTTTCTCTCTCTGTTGGTCTCTGTCTGTCTGTGAACTAGTGTCTGTTAGACTGGCTGTCTTTCTGTCAACTAGTGTCTGTCTTGACAGTCTCTCGGTCTGTCTGTCTGTCAACTAGTGTCTGTCTGACTGTCTCTCTGTCTGTCTCTCTGTTTGTATGTCAACTAGTGTCTGTCTGACTGTCTCTCAATTCAATTTCAATTCAACTTAAGGGGCTTTATTGGCATGGGAAACATATGTTTACATTGCCAAAGCAAGTGAAATAGATAATAAACAAAAGTGAAATAAACAATAAAAAATGAACAGTAAACATTACACTCACAAAAGTTCCAAAATAATAAATACATTTCAATTGTCTCATTATGTCTATATACAGTGTTGTAATGATGTGCAAATAGTTAAAGTACAAAGGTCTCTCTGTCTCTCTGTCTATCAACTAGTGTCTGTCTGTCTGTCTGTCTGTCTGTCTGTCTGTCTGTCTGTCTGTCTGACTGACTGTCTCTCTGTCTGTCTATCAACTAGTGTCTGTCTGACTGTCTCTCTGTGTCTGACTGTCTCTGTCTGTCAACTAGTGTCTGTCTGACTGTCTGTCAACTAGTGTCTGACTGTCTGTCTGTCTCTCTGTCTGTCTGTCAACTAGTGTCTGTTTATCTGTCTGTGTCTTTCTGTTTTGATGGAGTTAGGTGTGACTGTGTGTGTGCTGTGAGAGAGATTGTGTGTGTGTGAAATTGTGTGTGCCTACGTGTGTATGTGTGCACAAGTGTATGTGTACTTCCTGTCTAAGCCTAGACACAAACACGAAGACAAAAGCGTGTGAAAGTGATGATAAGATTATGACCTCTCTCTCAGTAGCATACAGCACATTTGGCCTTGGACATGAGCTGAGCAGAACGCTAAATCTTTCAATACTCGTAGATCAAGTCAACACTGTAGTTGAGTCAGGCTCTCTGATTTAGGGTCAGTGAACAGTACTTTGAGAGAACTGATAGTAAGCCCTATACACACTTGCCGCTATTATTTGACACATTCAAGAACTTTAGTGGCTCTGCTATTGTATGTGGGTGTTTCAATTACCTGTGTGTCCTTGTTTGTGTGTCTCTGTCTATTTGACTTTCTATGCAGCACTGGTAGGCCTATTTGTGAATGTGTTTGTTGTCACTGCTGCAGGGCTGGACACACACACAGTGTCCACAGGCACCATAGGCTCTGTAAACAAACTCAACCCCAGATACAGCACAACTCCTAGAAACCAAGAGGGGGAGGGAGGGAGGGAGGGAGAGGTTGGTGAAGAGAGGGAAAATGAGGTGAGTAGAAAGGCAGACACACGTGAAGAACAGGAATTTGCAGTGCCTTCTATAGGCAGACCTGAGCATCAAATACTGCTTTTAGTCTTCAACCCTTTCATATCTGACTGCATATTACAGTTGCATACTCTTGTCACCTTGTTGTTTTTCAGGTAGCCTTTTAGGTAAAAGTGTGTCTCCGAAACAGTTATGCAGTCATGTCATGATTTTTCGTTAAAGAACCTGCAGAATTTAGGTTGATGTCATGATTATTTTAAAATCACTGTACTCACTCAAATGCTTGTCAGATAACGTAGCGTAATAGATGGCAGAAAGGCTTAGTCTCTGCCTAATTGAGGTGGATTGAAATAAGATTAAATCCTGCATCCTCTGAACATAACGCCTCGTGTGTGTGTGTGCCTGTGTGCATACTTGTGTGTTTTTTGGGGTGCATATCCTGGTGTGGATGCGATGTGTGCATTTGACGCCTGCACCTTTGTGCGTGTGTATGCCTGTGTGTTTGCAGTGTGCCGAAGCCAAGGGCGAGCCAAGGCCACTGAGCCAGACCATATTAGGCAGCAGTTTGTGAGAGCAGGAAGTTTTTCAGGGTTCGGATTCCCCTGGTCAGGAAGTCAGAGATTGTTTCACGTCTCACACCACAGACACACTGCGGAGGAGGAGGAAGTAGCTGAGACTTTCTCACACGCGTTACCGTGGCGACGCCACGTGTGACCTTGCATGGTAGCAGAATCTGAGACAGAGAATCCACAATGGCACCCTCTTAAAGAGATTCTCCGGTACATTTGTATACTTTTTAGCCAGTAGTTCTTAGTAGAGGTCTTCACGGACTATACACGAAGACCCGATCTGGGACCCGAGCGGGTCCGGATCCAGAATTCTAAATAATGTCACGGGTCTGGGTCAGATCTGATATGATTGTCACGGTTCTCGGGTATGTGTAATTTTAACTGACTTGTCCTGAAGTACCCGTACAGATCCGAACATGACTGATACAGTTGAGAGAGAAGTTGTATAATTTATGCTGCTGCTCTTGCTTTTCACGAGAGTGGTGTGTGTTGATTGCTGTTGTTGTTGGCCAATCATAAGTCATCAAAGCTGCAATAGGCTACAGTCATAGAGCATCAAGTTAAGAGATACCTAATCAATGGAAGATGGAATTAAAATGATGGAATTAAAAGTTAAAGGAAGAAGAACAGGCTACAACGACCAAGTGGCAACAGGTAGGCTGCTACTTAATATTCTGAATGGAGTTGTTGTTGTTTGTAACTGTGTAGGACGAGAAAGCGCGTACCTCGATTTAGCCTAGCTAGCTTAATTAGCTTCTCCCGATTTGATGCAGTCAAGACCGGTACTATGTAATCATATTGGATGATAAATAACCTAGCTACTCTATGGCAGCTATTAGTCTACTAAAGCGTGAGTTGGCTTAGTTGGTTGCTGTATCTCATCCCTCCCGCCATCCTCCCTGCTCGCCGTGTCACTCGCTCACACTCACAGCAGCCTACACACACACTGTGTGTGACATAGCACGGCCCCTGCTAGAACATCACCTCTCTCTACCTCCTCACCCTCGCACGTTATCAGCTGCTTACTGCTTACCTCACTCGGATCAGACCAGGTATGGATCCGACCAGGTCTATACGGAACGGATCTAGTTGCCCCCGGGTCCGTTAGGAACGGGTCTCCAATATAATTTTTATTTATTTATGCATATCGGGTCCGGGTGGGAAAGCCCCAGGTCCATTTCGGAACAGGTCCAACTTTTTGGACTAGATGTGAAGGCCTCTAGTTCTTAGGGCCGGGACGATACCAGTATTGCGATACTCGTTCGTATCGTGGCAAGGAAACAAAACACTAAGAGGATTGAACTTCTTTAGGAAAACAGCCCTAATGTTGGAAACAAACATCATTATGTTGTCATCCAGAGTCACATTTATTTATTTCCCAAGCTATAGCGCACAATATTTTACATACAGCAGGTTTTTAAAGGACCAATGAGTATAAATATCGCAATACTGGTATTGTCCCGGCCATAGTAGTGCTCATGAGCCAAAAGTGGTCCCTGGAAATTGCTAACTACCTCACATACACTATATATACAGAAGTATGTGGACACCCCTTCAAATGAGTGGATTCAGTTATTTCAGCCAAACCCGTTGCTGACAGGTTTATAAAATCGAACACACAGCCATGCAATCTTCATAGACAAACATTGGCAGTAGAATAGCCCGTACTGAAGAGCTCAGTGACTTTCAACATGGCACCGTCATAGGATGCTACCTTTCCAACAAGTCAGTTCGTCAAATTTCTGTCCTGCTAGAGCTGCCCTGGTCAACTGTAAGTGCTGTTATTGTGAAGTGGAAACATCTAGGAGCAACAACGGCTCAGCTGTGAAGTGGTAGGCCATACAAGCTCACAGAACGGGACTGCTGAGTGCTGAAGCGCGCAGCGAGTAAAAATCATCTGTTGCAACACTCACTACCGAGTTCCAAAATGCTGGAGTGGTGTAAAGCTCGCCGCCATTGGACTCTGGAGCAGTGGAAACGCATTCTCTGGAGTGATGAATCACTCTTCACCATCTGGCAGTCCGACGGACGAATTTGGGTTTGGCGGATGCCAGGAGAACGCTACCTGCCCCAATGCATAGTGCCAACTGTAAAGTTTGATGGAGGAGGACTAATGGTCTGGGGCTGTTTTTCATGGTTTGGGCTAGGCCCCTTAGTTCCAGTGAAGGGAAATCTTAATGCTACAGCATACAGTGACATTCTGGATGATTCTGTGCTTCCAACTTTGTGGCAACAGTTTGGGAAGGCTCTTTCCTGTTTTAGCATGACATTGCCCCTGTGCACAAAGCGAGGTCCATACAGAAATGGTTTGTCAAGATCGTTGTTTAAGAACTTGACTGGCCTGCACAGAGCCCTGACCTCAACCCCATCAAACACCTTTGGGATTAATTGGAACGCCGGCTGCGAGCCAGGCCTAATCGCCCAACATCAGTGCCCGACCTCACTAATGCTCTTGTGGCTGAATGGAAGCAAGTCCCCGCAACAATGTTCCAACAACTAGTGGAAAGCCTTCCCAGAAGAGTGGAGGCTGTTATAGCAGCAAAGGGGGGACCAACTCTATATTAATGTCCATGATTTTGGAATGTGATGTTCGACGAACAGGTGTCCACATACATTTGGTCATGTAGTGTATATACAGATATGTGCACCACGTCATTGCTCTCTCTCTGCTGTGTGGGCATCTTGCTAACTGTCACTCAAATGGCGAGGGGCTGAAGCTCATTGGCTAGAACTCGAATTGCTAGGGGGCTGGCCCACATGAGGGAAAATGTAGAGAAAATGGCGCAGCACAGCTTCCAGAAAAACAGTGCTAAAAAGGCATAAGTGGCCGTATCTGTTTACTGTAAAACAATGCTTCGTAATCTCTTTTAGCCATCCTGAAGTTCCTCATCTTGCTCTTACTGCCATAAGCAACATCGACAACAAAGCAATGTCCACAACAGTGCACTGACTGCACTCAATACCCAGAAATGGGCCATCTTGTTACTTCCTCGTTGGAGATGACTGAATTAATTCCTTCCCTTTCTCTCTCCTCCCCCCATCTCTTTCTTCCCCTCCACACTCTCCATGTTTCTATCTCTCGGTCACTCTCTTCCCCTTCCCCTCTCATCTCCCCATCTCTCCCTCTCTCTCTCTCTCTCTCTCTCTCTCTCTCTCTCCCTTCATCTCTCTTCTTCCTCCATCTCTTTCGCTCTCTGTCCCTCTCCTCCACCCTTCTATCCCTTCCCCTCTCATCTCCTCCATCTCTGTCTCTCTGTCCACCCCCCCCCCCCCCCCCTCTCTTTCTCTCTTTCTCTCTCAGTGAGTCTAGTATCTGCCAGGCGCGGGCCACGGTCATGCTGTACGAAGATGCTAACAAGCGCTGGGTGCCGGCAGGTGCAGGGGGCCAGGCCTTCAGCAGGGTCCAGATCTACCACAACCCCGTGGCCAACACATTCCGAGTGGTGGGACGCAAGATACAGGCCGACCAGCAGGTAACTAGTGTACACACACACACACCATGAACAGAGAAATTCCTAGGAGGCACTGTCTGATATTCGATTGAGCAATATAGCTGTTTGTTTAGCCTGAGACAGTTTTCACGTCTTTCATCAAGTATTTCTGTCCGACTTCTCATCAAGCGAACTAGCTACCAACTGGGCACAGACATCAATTCAACGTCTATTCCACGTTGGTTCAACGTAATTTCATTGCAATGACGTGGAAACAACGTTGATTCAACCAGTGTATTCCCAGTGGGTATCTATAACGGCTACAGCTGTTGAGGGGTTGGGAGGAACCACTACGGTGGCTCATCAAGATCAAAAGCATTTTACAGTATATACTGTATATACACAGTGCCTTCAGAAAGTATTCACACCCCTTGACTTTTTCCACATTTTGTTGTGTTACAGCATGAATTTAAAATGTATTATATTGAGATTGTTTTGTCACTGCCCTACACATAATACCCCATAATGTCATTACAAATGAAAATCTGAAATGTCTTGAGTCAAAAAGTATTCAACCCCTTTGATATTGCAAGCCTAAATAAGTTCAGGAGTAAAAATGTGCTTAAAAAAGCTAACTTTAAAAAAGTTAGCTTAATGGCTGTGATAGGAGAAAACTGAAGATGGATTAACAACATTGTAGTTACTTCACAATACTTACCTAATTGACAGAGTGAAAAGATTGAAGCATGTGCAGAATACTTTTTTCCAATTGTTTGCAACAAGGCATTAAAGTAATACTGCAAAAAAATTTGGCAAAGCAAATAACTTTTTGTCCTGAATGCAAAGTGTTAGGTTTGGGGCAAATCCAATACAACACATTATTGAGTACCACTCTCCATATTTTCAAGCATAGTGGTGGCTGCATCATGTTATGGGTATGCTTGTAATCGTTGAGGAGTGGGGAGTTTTTCAGGATAAAAAAGAAACGGAATGGAGCTAAGCACAGGCAAAATCCTAGAGGAAAACCTGGTTCCATCTGCTTTCTACCAGACACTGGGAGATACATTCACCTTTTCAGCAGGACAATAACTTAAAACACAAGGTCAAATCTACACTGGATTTGCTTACCAAGAAGACACTGAATATTCCTGGCCAGGTTACAATTTAGACTTTTTTTTATTTTTTGGGGAATGGATCAGCTTAATATTGCAGATAGATTGTATCTTCTATCAATGTAATTGTCTGCATCACTTCCAATCCCCCATGTTTTTTTTTTTTTTTTTTATATATATATACTCCCCTTTATTACTTTTCAACCCCACCATCCTTTCCCTACTTGGAGTAAATTAGTGAACAACAATGCCCAGGCCTCTACTTCCGGTCTATACTTACTATCTACACCTTATGGACAGAGTTAATTTTACAATAATTCTATTATATATATATAGATATATAGATATATAGATATAGATATATAGATATATATATATTTTTTTTATTTTTTATTTAAAAAAAAAAAAAATTTGCTCCTGAACTTCTTCTACTCTCAACCTCTCCGATCATTTTCATGATGTCCATCCGGTTTGCTTCTATATGCCATATCTTTCTAACTGTACTCTTTCCCAAAAGCTCCCAACATACAACCTATATACTTATTATGGACACAGTATGCTTACATTATTAGCTATCTTTGTTATTATTTGTTGTTATTTGTTATTAGTCCCATCCTTCAACTCTATTCAATACCTCCCATCTATCTCTTAACACCATCCAAATAGGTTTTCTATTTGCCATATATATTTCAACCGTACTGTGATGTTTTACAAAAGTTCTGAACCTTTCTATTCTCATTGCTTCTACAGATTGTGAATTAAAAACAAACATTTTTGCTAAAAGTATTATTATATTATTGATTGATTGACTATGACTTTTCAGATCACCCAGTAATGCTATCTGCAAGGTTAGTTCCAGGTAAATATTGCAATCCTTTAGCCATTCCTGGACCTGTGTCCAAAAACAAGCTACAAATGGACAGAACCAAAACAAATGATCTAATGATTCTGTCTCTTCACAGCAAAATCTGCAAAGTTGGGAAGATTGTATACCCCATATAAATAACATTCTATTGGTAGCAAGAATTTTATATAATAATTTAAATTGAAAGATTCTAATTTTTGAATCCGGTGTCGTTTTGCGTGTCAGTTCATAAACACTATGCCATGGGATCGGTACGTCAAAGATCTCTTCCCAACTACTTTGCAATCTATATGGGACGGCTGTCAATCCTTTGGTCCTTAAGTGAAACTGATATACTTTTTTATTTATCACAGTTTTCCTTAACCAATTATGTTCTTTAATGCAAGGCCGACAGACAAGTTCCTTACTTTCTCCCCCTTCCACTTTCCTCTTCCACTTTTGCGGTAAGGCTGCAATTATTTGGTTGTAATTTTGGGTAGAGCAGACATTTCCATATGTTTTTGTTAGCAATTTAGACTTAAATCTGCTGGAAAATCTATGGCAAGACCTGAAAATGGTTGTCTAGCAATGATCAACAACCAATGTGACAGTGCGTGAAGCATTTTGAAAAGAATAATGGGCAAATGTTGCACAATCCAGGTGTGGAAAGCTCTTAGACTTACCCAGAAAGACTCACAGCTGTAATTGCTGCCAAAGGTGATAATAACATGTATTGACTCAGGGTGTTGAATACTTATCTAATCAAGATATATTAGTGTAGAAACAATGAGAATAGAAGGGTTCAGAACTTTTGTGAGACATCAGATTACAGTTGAAAAATATATGGCAAATAGAAATCCAATATGGATGGTGTTAAGAGATAGATGGGAGGTGTTGAATGGAGCTGAAGGATGGGACTAATAACAACTAACAACAACTAATAACAACAAGATAACTAATGTAAAGCATACTGTTCAGGAGTAAAAACAAAAAATATATAATTATTGTAAAATTGACTGTGTCCATAAAATTTATATAGTATGTATAAGCTGGAAGTAGAGGCCTAAGTGTTGTTGTTCACTAGTTTACTCCAATTAGAGAAGGGGTCGTGGGGTTGGAAAGTAATAAAGGGAAATATATTTTATAAAAGGATATGGACAGTGGGGAGAACAAGTATTTGATACACTGCCGATTTTGCAGGTTTTCCTACTTACAAAGCATGTAGAGGTCTGTAATTTTTATCATAGGTACACTTCAACTGTGAGAGACGGAATCTAAAACAAAAATCCAGAAAATCACATTGTATGATTTTTAAGTAATTCATTTGCATTTTATTGCATGACATAAGTATTTGATACATCAGAAAAGCAGAACTTAATATTTGGTACAGAAACCTATGTTTGCAATTACAGAGATCATACGTTTCCTGTAGGTCTTGACCAGGTTTGCACACACTGCAGCAGGGATTTTGGCCCACTCCTCCATACAGATCTTCTCCAGATCCTTCAGGTTTCGGGGCTGTCGCTGGGCAATACGGACTTTCAGCTCCCTCCAAAGATTTTCTATTGGGTTCAGGTCTGGAGACTGGCTAGGCCACTCCAGGACCTTGAGATGCTTCTTACGGAGCCACTCCTTAGTTGCCCTAGCTGTGTGTTTCGGGTCGTTGTCATGCTGGAAGACCCAGCCACGACCCATCTTCAATGCTCTTACTGAGGGAAGGAGGTTGTTGGCCAAGATCTCGCGATACATGGCCCCATCCATCCTCCCCTCAATACGGAGCAGTCGTCCTGTCCCCTTTGCAGAAAAGCATCCCCAAAGAATGATGTTTCCACCTCCATGCTTCACGGTTGGGATGGTGTTCTTGGGGTTGTACTCATCCTTCTTCTTCCTCCAAACACGGCGAGTGGAGTTTAGACCAAAAAGCTATATTTTTGTCTCATCAGACCACATGACCTTCTCCCATTCCTCCTCTGGATCATCCAGATGGTCATTGGCAAACTTCAGACGGGCCTGGACATGCGCTGGCTTGAGCAGGGGGACCTTGCGTGCGCTGCAGGATTTTTATCCATGACGGCATAGTGTGTTACTAATGGTTTTCTTTGAGACTGTGGTCCCAGCTGTCTTCAGGTCATTGATCAGGTCCTGCCGTGTAGTTCTGGGCTGATCCCTCACCTTCCTCATGATCATTGATGCCCCACGAGGTGAGATCTTGCATGGAGCCCCAGACCGCGGGGTGATTGACCGTCATCTTGAACTTCTTCCATTTTCTAAAAATTGCGCCAACAGTTGTTGCCTTCTCACCAAGCTGCTTGCCTATTGTCCTGTAGCCTATCCCAGCCTTGTGCAGGTCTACAATTTTATCCCTGATGTCCTTACACAGCTCTCTGGTCTTGGCCATTGTGGAGAAGTTGGAGTCTGTTTGATTGAGTGTGTGGACAGGTGTCTTTTATACAGGTAATGAGTTCAAACAGGTGCAGTTAATACAGGTAATGAGTGGAGAACAGGAGGGCTTCTTAAAGAAAAACTAACAGGTCTGTGAGAGCCGGAATTCTTACTGGTTGGTAGGTGATCAAATACTTATGTCATGCAATAAAATGCAAATTAATTACTGAAAAATCATACAATGTGATTTTCTGGATTTTTGTTTTAGATTCCGTCTCTCACAGTTGAAGTGTACCTATGATAAAAATGACAGACCTCTACATGCTTTGTAAGTAGGAAAACCTGCAAAATTGGCAGTGTATCAAATACTTGTTCTCCCCACTGTATATACAGTTGAAGTCGGAAGTTTACATACACCTTAGCCAAATACATTTCAACTCAGTTTTTCACAATTCCTGACATCTAATCCTTCTAAAAAATACCCTTTCTTAGGTCCGTTAGGATCACCACTTTATTTTAAGAATGTGAAATGTCAGAATAAATGTAGAGAGAATTACTTATTTCAGCTTTTGTTTCTTTCATCACATTCCCAGTGGGTCAGAAGTTTACATACACGCAAGTAGTATTTGGTAGCATTGCCTTTAAATTGTTTAACTTGGGTCAAATGTTTCGGGTAGCCTTCCACAAGCTTCCCACAATAAGTTGGGTGAATTTTGCCCCATTCCTCCTGACAGAGCTGGTGTAACTGAGTCAGGTTTGTAGGCCTCCTTGCTCGCACACGCTTTTTCAGTTCTGCCCACAAATGTTTTATAGGATTGAGGTCAGGGCTTTGTGATGGCCACTCCAATACCTTGACTTTGTTGTCCTTAAGCCATTTTGCCATAACTTTGGAAGTATGCTTGGGGTTATTGTCCATTTGGAAGACCCATTTGCGACCAAGCTTTAACTTCCTGACTGATGTCTTGAGATGTTGCTTCAATATATCCACATATTTTTCCTTCCTCAAGATGCCATCTATTTTGTGAAGTGCACCAGTCCCTCCTGCAGCAAAGCACCCCCACAGCATGATGCTGCCACCCCCGTGCTTCACGGTTGGGATGGTGTTCTTCGGCTTGCAAGATGCCCCCTTTTTCCTCCAAACATAACGATGGTCATTATGGCCAAACAGTTCTATTTTTGTTTCATCAGACCAGAGGACATTTCTCCAATAAGTACGATATTTGTCCCCATGTTCAGTTGCAAACTGTAGTCTGGCTTTTTTATGGCGGTTTTGGAGCAGTGGCTTCTTCCTTGCTGAGCGGCCTTTCAGCTTATGTCGATATAGGACTCGTTTTACTGTGGATATAGATACTTTTGTACCTGTTTCCTCCAGGATCTTCACAAGGTCCTTTGCTGCTGTTCTGGGATTGATTTGCACTTTTCGCACCAAAGTACGTTCATCTCTAGGAGACAGAACGCGTCTCCTTCCTGAGCGGTATGACGGCTGCGTGGTCCCATGGTCCCATACTCCCAAGGATGAACCAGACTGGGCTGATTTCTTTTGATTTTCCCATGATGTCAAGCAAAGAGGCACTGAGTTTGAAGGTAGGCCTTGAAATACATCCACAGGTACACCTCCAATTGACACAAATTATGTTAATTTAGCCTATCAGAAGCTTCTAAAGCCATAACATCATTTTCTGGAATTTTCCAAGCTGTTTAAAGGCACAGTCAACTTAGTGTATGTAAACTTCTGACCCACTGGAATTGTGATACAGTGAATTAGAAGTGAAATAATCTGTCTGTAAACAATTGTTGGAAAAATTACTTGTGTCATGCACAAAGTAGATGTCCTAACCGACTTGCCAAAACTGTAGTTTATTAACAAGAAACATGTAGAGTGGTTGAAAAACGAGTTTTAATGACTCCAACCTAAGTGCATGTAAACTTCCGACTTCAACTGTATATGTATTTATATGCATGTGTATAAGTGTGTGTGTGTGTGTGTGTGTGTGTATGTATATATATATATATATATATATATATATATATATATATATATATATATATATATATATATATATATGAGAAAAAAACATATGGGGGATTGGAAGTGATGCAGACAATTACATTGATGGAAGTTACAATTTATCTGCAATATTAAAGCTGATCTACCCCCCCAAAAAAGATATATTAGTTTTATTTTTCATGAATGTTTTACAATTGTTAGGATTTTTCTTACACTTTGACATTAGAGTATTTTGTGTAGATCGTTGACAAAAAATGAGAATGAAATCAATTTTAATCCCACGTTGTAACACAACAAAATGTGGAAAAAGTCAAGGGGTCTGAATACTTTCCGAATGCGCTGTGTGTATATATACACATATACATGCATATGAACACATACACAGGAGACAACAATGCGGGGCTTGGAGGGTAACATTTTTCCAACTGGTCTGGGACCTCTTTGGACAGTCTAACTGACTGACTTGAACATTATTTGACAGACTGATCTGTAAGTCTTGTGAGTGTTGCTGTACATCAGTGCTATAACACCATATGGGAACCAGTTCCATGGGCTCTTCCTTGCCCTGTCACACTCGGAGATTGGTGGTTAGGCTTTGTCATTTCAGTCTGTCTGTTGCTGCAGACTGTGAACATGCAGCAAGCATCCTCTCTGCTCCTTGAGGTTAGTCTCATTAGTATAGTGTGGGTTGTATGTGTCAGCTGTCTTCCTCTTTCTCTCCGCCTTCACTTCTGTTTACTGTGTGCTACTACCTCTGCTCTCGAGCTAACACCTTCCTCTCTCACTAGGGTAGTGGAGGACCCACACTAAGACTAGAGAGACCTAGCTTAGCCTAGCCTAACCTAGAGGCTACTTTTAGTTTACCTTATCCTAGCCTAGCATCTAAGCACAGTTTCCAAAAGCGCTATTGCTTTGGAAAGGGCAATGGATGGTCCACACTACTAGTAGCACAAGTGACTAGAGAGACTTAGCCTAGCATAGTTTAACATATAAGCACAGTTTCACTAAAAGCTCTGTTTTCAAATGCACCTCAGCTTCACTCATTCCACAGATGAGGCCAGGCAGGTCAGCCGTGATACAAGTCAGTATTCGACGTCCATCCATGTCTGAGAACGCCGGGAGATGACGTGGAAACTGGCATCTAGGGGAAACAGTGAGCGCTGTCTTGGTCTTCACAAAGTTTGCTGCTTCAGATATTTTTGTCAGATGTTACTATGGTATACTGAAGTATAATTACAAGCATTCCATAAGTGTCAAAGGCTTTTATTGACAATTACGTTAAGTTTATGCAAAGAGTCAATATTTGCGGTGTTGACCCTTCTTTTTCAAGACCTCTGCAATCCGCCCTGGCATGCTGTCAATTAACTTCTGGGCCACATCCTGACTGATGGCAGCCCATTCTTGCATAATCAATGCTTGGAGTTTGTCAGAATTTGTGGGTTTTTGTTTGTCCACCCGCCTCTTGAGGATTGACCACAAGTTCTCAATGGGATTAAGGTCTGGGGGGTTTCCTGGCCATGGACCCAAAATGTTGATGTTTTGTTCCCCGAGCCACTTAGTTATCACTTTCACCAAACTGTTCTTGGATGGTTGGGAGAAGTTGCTCACGGAGGATGTGTTGGTACCATTCTTTATTCATGGCTGTGTTCTTAGGCAAAATTGTGAGTGAGCCCACTCCCTTGGCTGAGAAGCAACCCCACACATGAATAGTCTCAGGATGCTTTGCTGTTGGCATGACACAGGACTGATGGTAGCGCTCACCTTGTCTTCTCCGGACAAGGTGTTTTCCGGATGCCCCAAACAATCGGAAAGGGGATTCATCAGAGAAAATGACTTTACCCCAGTCCTCAGCAGTCCAATCCCTGTACCTTTTGCAGAATATCAATCTGTCCCTGATGTTTTCCCTGGAGAGAAGTGGCTTCCTCGCTGCCCTTCTTGACACCAGGCCATCCTCCGAAAGTCTTGGCCTCACTGTGCGTGCAGATGCACTCACACCTGCCTGCTGCCATTCCTGAGCAAGCTCTGCACTGGTGGTGCCCCGATCCCCAACTTTAGGAGACAGTCCTGGCGCTTGCTGGACTTTCTTGGGTGCCCTGAAGCCTTCTTCACAACAATTGAACCTCTCTCCTTGAAGTTCTTGATGATCCGATAAATGGTTGATTTAGGTGCAATCTTACTAGCAGCAATATCCTTGCCTGTGAAGCCCTTTTTGTGCAAAGCAATGATGACGGCACGTGTTTCCTTGCAGGTAACCATGGTTAACAGAGGAAGACCAATGATTTCAAGCACCACCCTCCTTTTAAAGCTTCCAGTCTGTTATTCTAACTCAATCAGCATGACCGAGTGATCTCCAGCCTTGTCCTCGTCAACACTCTCACCTGTGTTAACGAGAGAATCACTGACATGATGTCAGCTGGTCCTTTTGTGGCAGGGCTGAAATGCAGTGGAAATGTTTTTGGGGGGATTAAGTTCATTTTCATGGCAAAGAGGGACTTTGCAATTAATTGCAATTCATCTGATCACTCTTCATAACATTCTGGAGTATATTCAAATTGCCATCATCAAAACTGAGGCAGCAGACTTTGTGAAAATTCATATTTGTGTCATTCTCAAAACATTTGACCACGACTGTAGATGGGCATAAGAATCTGCCTCTGGTTCAAAAAGTTGCATGTTCGAATCTAGTGATAGAAAGTTATTTTTTATATTTTTGTTTTAAGCCTATCCTAAACATTACCCCTTAGCTTAACCATTCAGAGTTAATGGCTAACCTTAAGAATTCGGAGTTCATGCCTAAACTTAACCTTAAACATTTAGAATAACTGAAACGTTTGGAATAATTTAGAAATTTGACATTTGTAAAACATGGTTGAATGTCTAATACTGAAGTGAGACTGAGCTTGTTGGAATGGGGCACACAAATACTGTGATATGGTCATGGCCGCAGGAAGATGTTTTTGGTTGGGGGTGCTGTCAACGGGGGTGGGGGTGGGGGGGGGGAGGGGGTATATATATTTTCTCCGCTAATACAAGAGTAATGAAGGCCTAGTTCGCTAATTGCAGGGGATTTAAATAATATATATATATTTTTATTATTGATTTATCAGGGGTGCTGCTACTTCCCACTGCTATGGATATGGTGTTACCACAAATTAGGAATAAACAACCTGTTGCCGTCTCTGTGATTTAAGGATAGTAAATGATAATGCTGTTTTGACACCTCCCAGTGGATTTGTACACATATTGCACCATCATCTAATCAATAGCAATAGCAATAGATGAGCATGAAGGGATACGAGGGGGGGAAACAATTTTGAAATACAAAGGCTATAAAGACAATCTAGGTTCCCTCTCCAGTGTTTACTTACCTACACATGCTATATTCCACACACACACACATTCTCTCAGTGAACGCATACTGTAATTCCACTCATAGTTTCTCATTGTCTTTTACTTCCTGCTTGACACTCCCAGGTGGTGATCAACTGTCCAATCGTCAAGGGTCTGAAGTACAATCAGGCCACAACCAACTTCCACCAGTGGCGGGACGCCCGGCAGGTGTGGGGGCTGAACTTTGGCAGCAAGGAGGACGCCGCCCTCTTTGCCAACGGCATGATGCACGCCCTGGAGGTGCTGAGTGCTCTCGGCGACTCGGGTAGGAACCATAATATAGGACAAAAATATAATACATCATTGGTAGGAACAAAATAAATGATATCCAAAAATATATCGAAAAACAAATTTGTACGTGAAACGCGTTTTTCGTTTATTCACTGTACATGTTAAATAAATAGAAGGTAAGGTTGCTCGCCTGCCTTTTCTAGCACCTGGATGGAGACACAGGGTTCTCTCTTTCTTTTTCTGCAATAGAAAATCTCTGGCCCTGCTTCCTTTTTGTTCTTGCTTTCTTGCTGCAATCGGTGATCTGGAATCCACAGTAGGGGAAACAGCACCACCGTCCACCCCACCGCCGTTGTTATTGTTTTGGTTTTGTTGAAGAAGGCGGAGGTGAGGAGCATCGCGTAACCTGATAAAACAAATTGCAGTGATGTCTAGGGGGATAAACAGTATTCGTTGTTTGCAGTGACTTCTTCTAATATCGCAAACGGACGTGGCTGTTTCACCATTAAGGATTCCAGCTTTTACCTAACACCATTGGATAGATTTTGTCAGAAGGAGAAGGGAAGGATGCATTTTTTAAAGTATTTAAACAGGACCGCTAAAATACACATTACTCACTCGTTGTCTGTTTCTATCCTCAGGATACTCCTCTCTCCCTCGCCCTGTCCAGAATGGACCCTCCCCAGAGGAGCTGGAGCAGCAGAGGAGGTACCATTCACATGATTTTAGGGTTTCTTCAGGTGCTGAGTAGTACAGCACCAAAGAGAACCTCTCTATAGCTACTGGTTAATAATGTTCCTGTTGCATACCAACTTACCCACATCTTCATATTGGTTGTGCACAATTATTAGTAAAACACACTCTACCTTCCAACTTCACACATTTTGTAAGTCTAAAAGACCCTTAGGCACCCACACACCACACCACAACACAGACCAATACGTTCACTTCCGGGTACTCCTCCAGACAGTGGCTCAGCCACATTAGCTAACTATCACCGTAATGGTAATCACATTTAGCTATAAAGGTCTGTCCCAAAAAGCACCGTATTCCCTATATAGTGCACTACTTTTGACCAGGGCCCATCGGGAAGAGGGTGCCATTTGGGACGTAAGCTAGGTAGGTAGTTAATAAGGGGTATTACGGAGCCATGTCTCAACAAAGTAAGACAGACAGCAGGAGAAAGAGACCAAGATGTGTGGGATAGTGTGTTCTGGGAAACGGCTACTGCCTCAACCCACAAAAAAACCCCAGCTGGTCCTGTAAATCTAGATGACGGCTACTACTCTAGCCTATGCACGTGTATACGGATATAGAGCTGTGTTGTATTGTGTCTGGAGCTAGGATAGCTTAAGATTCTTTTTAGATTGGGTGCATGTGGAGGTTGTGTTGTCAGCATATGGTCTGTTGTGTTGTCAGCAGAGGGCAGTTGAATGTACTTAAAAGTGTTGTTGTTTTGTTACTGTTTTACTAAGATGGGTGAAAGGGCACTTGGCTATTGCATATCTGACTGCTGTTTAGTAGATCATTTGTCTATTTTAAGTCTCTATACTTTAATTATGCTAGGATAAATGTTATTCTAAACGTTTTTACTCATGATTGCTCAGTATAGAAATACAGTTCTAGAATCCTGTCTCCTAGAATCCTAGTAACGAGTAGAGAGTATTGGACTCCTAGAGGAACTAGACTGTAGACGTACTCATCCCGATCAGTTCACATGCCTACAATTCTGAACATTACAGACCGATAGGAATGTAATGAACAGAGTAAACATGGACATGGCTTTCTATCATGGAATAAAGATAACATGCTCACCTCTCACAAACATTTTAAATTTGTCTGCAGCCCCCCTGCATTTGCACAACTAAACAGTTGAATTGAGTTTCAGTTATTTGTACTTTCACACACAGTCCATATGGATTCCATGGAGGTTGCGTTTTATGTCATTACTGAATGGATAGTGTTGAAGCCATTAAAATGTATTTAAATGTGTTCGAAACCTGTCTGTACAGTGCATTCGGAAAGTATGTTACGTTACAGCCTTATTCTAAAATTGATTAAATCGTTTTTTCCCCCCTGATCAATCTACACACACTACCCCATCATGACAAAGCAAAAATAGGTTTTTAGAAATGTTTGCAAATGTATTAAAAATAAAAATCTGAAATCACATTTACGTAAGTATTCAGACCCTTTACTCAGTACTTAGTTGAAGCACCTTTGGCAGCAATTACAGCCTCGATTCTTCTTGGGTACAGTGGCTTGCAAAAGTATTCACCCCCCTTGGCATTTTTCCTATTTTGTTGCCTTACAATTTTCAAGCCGATTTAAGTCAAAATTGGGTCCCGCTTTAAATGACATGCAGTTTATAAAGGCTTCATAAAGCCTTCATAAAGCCTTCATACACACTACATAAATGAGTTACAAATTATCTAGAACTGTGTGTCATGCTTTATAAAGGGTTCATAAATGTGGCATAACTGTGTGACATAAACACCAATGTCAAATGTAACCCACTATGTAAAATATAAAGGGTGGCATAAGCACCGCTTAATAAAGGCCTGACAAATTAATAAAGGCCTGACAATTTTTTTTATTGAGGCTTCACAAAACATTTCTAACCATGTCATGCATCTTGGTAGAGTACTGCAACGCCAGGATAGTTGGTTCGATTCCCGGGACCACCAAAACGTAAAAATGTATTCACGAATGACTGAAAGTCGCTTTGGATAAAAGCATTTGCAAAATTGTGTATATTATATTACATTTCTAGGATGGCCCAACTTCTTTCCCTCTTGTGTGAATAGTCAATATTGGACCTGACCTCAAATTCCCCCAAAATGCTGTGCTGCAGGATGACAAACACTCTAAAGTGCAGTCTTCTGTTTTTTTTTTCCCAGATTCCATTTTCTCAGTTTTGTTTTTCCAGGTTTCAGATATCCCCAATTTCTTCAGGTTTTCCCCAATTCTTTCAAACTTTCTTAATAGAACAACAACAACATTTGATTTTCTGTGTTCACAGCCATGCTTAAACCACAACAGGGGATTACTTTTGAGGACTGCCCGCTCCATGATCTCGCCATCACAGTTGACAACTCTGTTGTGTCCTTCTCCCAGCGAATAGCTTTGACTGTGCAGAGCGGGAACTGTGCTTCCGTAGAGGTAGGGGGGCTAGCAGGCCAGAGGTGGATGAACGTAGTGCCCTCGTTTGGGTGTAGGGTCTGATCAGAGCCTGAAGGTAAGGAGGTGCCGTTCCCCTCACAGCTCCGTAGGCAAGCACCATAGTTTTGTAGTAGATGCGAGCTTCAAATGGAAGCCAGTGGAATGTGCGGAGGAGCGGGGTGACATGAGAGAACTTGGGAAGGTTGAACACCAGACGGGCTGCAGCGTTCTGGATAAGTTGTAGGGGTTTAATGGCACAGGCAGGGAGCCCAGCCAACAGCGAGTTGCAGTAATCCAGACGGGAGATGACAAGTGCCTGGATTAGGACCTGTGCCGCTTTCTGTGTAAGGTAGGGTCGTACTCTGCGAATGTTGTAGAGCATGAACCTGCAGGATCGGGTCACCGCTTTGATGTTAGCGGAGAACGACAGGGTGTTGTCCAGGGTCACGCCAAGGTTATTTGCACTCTGGGAGGAGGACACAATGGAGTTGTCAACCGTGATGGCGAGATCATGGAGCGGGCAGTCCTTCCCCGGGAGGAAGAGCAGCTCCGTCTTGCCGAGGTTCAGCTTGAGGTGGTGATCCGACATCCACACTGATATGTCTGCCAGACATGCAGAGATGTGATTCGCCACCTGGTTATTAGAAGGGGGAAAGGAGAACATTAATTGTGTGTCGTCTGCGTAGCAATGATAGGAGAGACCATGTGAGGATATGACACAGTCAAGTGACTTGGTGTATAGAGAGAATAAGAGAGGGCCTAGAACTGAGCCCTGGGGGACACCAGTGGTGAGAGCACGTGGTGCGGAGACAGATTCTCGCCACCCCACCTGGTAGGAGCGACCTGTCAGGTAGGACACAATCCAAGAGTGAGCAGCGCCGGAGATGCCCAACTCGGAGAGGGTGGAGAGGAGGATCTGATGGTTCACAGTATCAAAGGCAGCAGATAGGTCTAGAAGGATAAGAGCAGAGGAGAGAGAGTTAGCTTTAGCAGTGCGGAGAGCCTCCGTGACACAGAGAAGAGCAGTCTTAGTTGAATGAGTTGAAACCTGACTGGTTTGGATCAAGAAGGTAATTCTGAGAAAGATAGCAGGAGAGTTGGCTAGAGACGGCACGTTCAAGAGTTTTGGAGAGAAAAGAAAGAAGGGATACTGGTCTGTAGTTGTTGACATCAGAGGGATCGAATGTAGGTTTTTTGAGGAGGGGTGCAACTCTCGCTCTCTTGAAGACGGAAGGGACATAGCCAGCGGTCAAGGATGAGTTGATGAGCGAGGTGAGGTAAGGGAGAAGGTCTCCGGAAATGGTCTGGAGAAGAGAGGAGGGGATAGGGTCAAGTGGGCATGTTGTTGGGCGGCCGGCCGTCACAAGTCGCAAGATTTCATCTGGAGAGAGAGAGGAGAAAGAAGTCAAAGCATAGGGTAGGGCAGTGTGAGCAGGACCAGCGGTGTCATTTGACTTCTACAGACCCTGCTGAGTATTCCCTACAATACTTTTACTGCAGCACCCAGAATAGTTTTTGCTCTATACAAAAACTATTCATCCCCCTTGGCTTTTTTCCTATTTTGTTGCATTACAGCCTGTAATTTAAATGGATTTTTATTTGGATTTCATGTAATGGACATACACAAAATAGTCCAAATTGGTGAAGTGAAATGAAAAGAATTCAAAAAATTCGAAAAAATACATAACGGAAAAGTGGTGCGTGCATATATATTCACCCAATTTGCTATGAAGCCCCTAAATAAGATCTGGTGCAACCAATTACCTTCAGAAGTCACATAATTAGTTAAATAAAGTCCACCTGTGTGCTATCTAAGTGTCACATGATCTGTCACATGATCTCAGTGTATATATACACCTGTTCTGAGTCTGCAACACCACTAAGCAAGGGGCTCCACCAAGCAAGCGGCACCATGAAGACCAAGGAGCTCTCCAAACAGTTCAGGGACAAAGTTGTGGAGAAGTCAGATCAGGGTTGGGTTATAAAAAATTATCTGAAACGTTGAACATCCCACGCCGCACCATTAAATCCATTATTAAAAAATGGAAAGAATATGGCACCACAACAAACCTGCCAAGAGAGGGCTGCCCACCAAAACTCACGGACCAGGCAAGGAGGGTATTAATCAGAGAGGCAACAAAGAGACCAAAGATAACCCTGAAGGAGCTGCAAAGCACCACAGCGGAGATTGGAGTATCTGTCCATAGGACCACTTTAAGCCGTACACTCCACAGAGCTGGGATTTATGGAAGAGTGGCCAGAAAAAAGCCTAAAAAATAAGCAAACACGTTTGGTGTTCGCCAAAAGGCATGTGGGAGACTCCCCAAACATATGGAAGAAGGTACTCTGGTCAGATGAGACTAAAATTGAGCTTTTTGGCAATCAAGGAAAACGCTATGTCTGGTGCAAACCCAACACCTCTCATCACCCCAAGAACACCACAGTGAAGCATGGGGGTGGCAGCATCATGCTGTGGGGATGTTTTTCATTGGCAGGGACTGGGAAACTGGTCGGAATTGAAGGAATGATGGATGGCGCTAAATACAGGGGAATTCTTGAGGGAAACCTGTTTCAGTCTTCCAGAGATTTGAGACTGGGACGGAGGTTCACCTTCCAGCAGGACAATGACCCTAAGCATACTGCTAAAGCAACACTCGAGTGGTTTATGGGGAAACATTTAAATGTCTTAAAAGCCTAGTCAAAACCCAGACCTCAATCCAATTGAGAATCTGTGGTATGACTTAAAGATTGCTGTACACCGGCGGAACCCATCCAAATTGAAGGAGCTGGAGCAGTTTTGCCTTGAAGAATGGGCAGAAATCCCAATGGCTAGATGTACCAAGCTCATAGAGACATACTCCAAGAGACTTGCAGTGGCATTCAGCACTTGAAACAATAACAAAGTGTTTCCCCCGCCCATGTTTCGGTAAAAAGCTGAATAATGGGGCTGGAGAAATGTAACCACTCTCAAATTCATAGACCGAGAAATGGATGCCAGGACTGACCATTCATGATACCAAAATTATAGTTTTAACCATGTTTGTAGGCTATATAGTACGACAGTTGAACTACGCTCATGAAGCACTTGTAAGCTATATTCTTCAATAATCAACATATCATTAAGTCAAAAAATGTTAAAATAATTTACTCCAAGTAGGGAAAGGATGGTGGGGTTGAAAAGTAATAAAGGGGAGTATGTATGTGTGTATATATATATATATATATATATATATATATATATATATATATATATATATATATATATATATATATATATATATATATATATATATATATATATATATATATATATATATATAAAAACATGGGGGATTGGAAGTGATGCAGACAATTACATTGATAGAAGATACAATCTATCTGCAATATTAAGCTGATCCATTCCCCCCCAAAAAATAAATAAATAAATAAAATAAAAATATTAATAAAAAGTCAAAAAAGGTATGTAGCAACTGTATATAACCCCTTTAACCAACAGTAGAGACTCTATCTGCCAGCTGAAAGCTAGCCATTCAAGGCAGTAGACTCACCAAAGGTGAACAGTGCTTAACCTATGACATGAGCCAGCCAGGTATAATTGACCCTTTGAGATGACGTTTTGTGTCCTCCACTTCCTTTAATATACAGGATTACTGAGGAGTGTGGCCTATTGGATATACCAGATGGTATCAACTGTCTGAACAAACATGTTAATGTAATCTATTAATTACAATTTGTAGTTAAAAAGTATAGTAATTTCTTATCAAGACCTAGGGGGCTATATCTCTGCACTGTCCATATTTGGAATGTGTAACTAAAACAAGTCAATCGTGATGGGTTATATAATCTATATTTTTTATAATTGAAAATGTAGTCTAATAGATTTATTTCATATATCACACATATTAAGTATATGAATGTATAGGCCTACAACTCCCATATTCTTAAAATAAGTGTTTTACATTCATCAGTCTAAAAGTTTCAGATTCTCCTGATAGGTTGATATCTCATTGGGGGTGGAAATAGAGAATTTAGGCAACAATAGTTGCAGCTGTCTGGTATCAACGTAAGATCAGCTAAATCACTGGTTTATTCTTGTGGGTTTTTCATTTCAATCAAGCTTATTTTAGCATGCAGGTGCATGTCATCGCCCCTTAGTATAGTTTTAAGAAAACCAGCACTAACACGGGGCTCCATGACAAGTTCTGCGTCTTCGTTGCAATTCACCTATTATGACTGTCAGTGACACCTAACCCTGACGCTAACGCAGTCAGGCTATTATGACTGTCAGTGACACCTAACCCTGACGCTAACGCAGTCAGGCTATTATGACTGTCAGTGACACCTAACCCTGACGCTAACGCAGTCAGGCTATTATGACTGTCAGTGACACCTAACCCTGACGCTAACGCAGTCAGGCTATTATGACTGTCAGTGACACCTAACCCTGACGCTAACGCAGTCAGGCTATTATGACTGTCAGTGACACCTAACCCTGACGCTAACGCAGTCAGGCTATTATGACTGTCAGTGACACCTAACCCTGACGCTAACGCAGTCAGGCTATTATGACTGTCAGTGACACCTAACCCTGACGCTAATGCAGTCAGGCTATTATGACTGTCAGTGACACCTAACCCTGACGCTAACGCAGTCAGGCTATTATGACTGTCAGTGACACCTAACCCTGACGCTAACGCAGTCAGGCTATTATGACTGTCAGTGACACCTAACCCTGACGCTAACGCAGTCAGGCTATTATGACTGTCAGTGACACCTAACCCTGACGCTAACGCAGTCAGGCTATTATGACTGTCAGTGACACCTAACCCTGACGCTAACGCTAACGCAGTCAGGTTCTGTGTGGCTTAGTTGGTAGAGCATGGGCGCTTGCAACACCAGGGTACTGGGTTCAATTCCCTAATGTTAGTCGCTTTGTATAAAAGTGTCTGCTAAATGGATAACACACTTTAATCTACAGTAGCACACACTAAGTTATAATAGTGATATTACATTGTACATGGGAGGTATGGTGTGTAGATGCAAAAGATCATGACTCTTTCATTTTGTGTATGTGTGTACACACCTTTGTGTGTGCCTGTTTATACAGATGTAGGATCTTAATTTGATCACCCTGTTGCAGGAGAACTTTCCTGCAAGTGTATTTGAGCTTTAAAAAGGCTTCTGAACTTCCATTTTTAAATTTCAGGCCTGATTTTCCCATACGAAAAATGTACGTAATCATTCACATTTCCTGTTGCTGCAGGATTTTTGTCCAGCTGTAGCAAACTGGCTCAAATTAAGATCCTACATCTGTATGTGTGTGTGTGAACATTAACTGATAGAAAGAACTCTGTCTGTGTCTCTCCCCTCGCAGACTGGAACTGCAGAGGCAGGAGCAGCAGGAGAGAGAGAAACAGGCCGCAGCCATCCCCCCTACAGCCCCACCCGCCCCTCCTTCAGCCCCTGGTGGCCCCCCGGCTCCCCCAGGCCCGCCTCCACCTCCAGGCCCCCCACCTGCTGGCCCCCCACCCCCACCTGGCCCCCCACCACCACCTGGGTCCGGGGCCCCACCTGCCCCACCTCTGCCTGGAGGAGGAGGAGGAGGAGGAGGAGGAGGAGGGGGGGATGGACTAGCTGCCGCCCTGGCAGGAGCCAAACTACGCAAATCCGCCAAGGTGAGACCAGTGTCACAGCCGTTTTCCAGGTCGTCTTCATTGCAGTCATGCTGTGCATATGATCAGATCTGACAGGGCCTGGAGAAGTGTTTAACATCTCAAGAACCACGCCAATATAATATAGAAAATCTTATTTGAATTGTGCAGGCAGCGCACCTTCACAAAAGACCTGGAACACATCCCTTTTACTCCATATTCCATTGTTGATGCATGTTGTATATTCAGTGAGTCGAACACCTTTCTTGAGGTAATCCCTGATCTTTAAGTGAGTGGATATAGGTGAAGACATGGCTTCCACCTTTCACAAATCTTAGTGTCAGATTAGTGATTTCCTCAAGGAAGGCTAGAAAGAAGGGTGCATTTTTTAAGTATTGAAATAGAGCCCGTCTCTCTCCATAGGAGGATAGTGGTGCGGCGGCACTTCCTACATCGGGAGGAGGAGGAGGAGGTGGGGGAGGTGGGGGAGGAAATCTGATGGGGGAGATGAGTGCCATCCTGGCCCGTCGGTGAGCCTCTGCCTCAGTCTTTGTTACACGTGGGGCTGGACGACTGTGTGTGATGAGTGTTAACGTTGTGTGTATGTGTGTGACGAGAGTGTGTGTGTGACGTTTACGATCATATCACTGTGTGCGGGTGTGTGATTTGCTGAGGCTTAGACCTCGTCTTCATTGTGTGTCTTCGTGTGCAGGAAGAAAATGTCAGATAATCCAGGTGCAAAGAAGGATGAGCCCAGCAATGTAAGTATCCTGTCAATTATCTTTGTAGAGACAACAATCCTCCTCTCATAAATCCTTAAAGAGATTCTCAGGTAATTGCGTACTACGTCACATATGAGCACCACATCATTACTCTCTCTCTCTGTCTCTGCTGTGTCCACTGAGCCTTTGGGCCAGCCCTGCAACTTCATTGGATTACGCTGGGCAGGACTCTTGCTAGCTGTCACTCAAATGCAAGAGCCTGAAGCTCATTGGCTGGAACGCGAATTGCTAGGGGGCTGGCCCACGTGGGGGGAAATGTAGGGAAAATGGCACGGCACAGCTTCAACAAAACAGTCACTTTCAAACTAGGGATTTCGTGGCTAATTGAGGTAAAACAGTAATTCTGCTCATAGATTATGTATGTATGAACTAGACATTGGAAGAGATGGAGACATCCAGCCCAAAGCGGGAGGTTTAAAAAAGTAGTCTTAGTCTCCAAAGTACCGGAGCATGTCTTTAAGAATGTGTGTGTGTAAGCTGCAAGTCAAGTCACACTGTAGTTAAAGACATATGTGCATAGTAAAGGGATGACACAATGTCATTTTGTTTCTCTGCTCTTTTAGGAAGACTCCTCAAAGTCCTCAGGCCAAAGTGGTGAGTAGATCCACTGAAGTCTTCAGTCACTCCTTTTGTATTTGACTCAGTATGCACCTGGGAGCTGTTCCAGAAAGAAGAATCAATGAGTTGGCCCGCTAACTGTTCCAAAAATATGTCGGCTGAATATATATACTTCCTTCTCAAAAATGACACTCATGTTTCTGAAATAGCATCATCATTTTATGAAATATAGACTTTAAATTAGCATGGTATAATTGACTCGACAACCAACAACCCATATCCAAGTTTAGCTTTCTAGAATAATTGGAAAATCAAGAGATACAGTATTTGACTGCTTATCAAAGTTAGCTGGTTAACTTAATAATGGTCCTGTTTTCTGGAACACTCCACTGATCATTAAATTATATGTATTTTGTTTGTATACATTTAACTTGTGACAGCTAGTGTAGTTTCCTGGGTTGTATTCATTAGGCACCAAATGAAAGAAAACGCACCGAAACAGGGAGGGACTACCTGAACCTCGTTTTCCTTTTATTTTGCTACGGTGTGCACTAATGAATACAACCCAGATCTCTTTGACTCATATGAATGTTCTATCCTTGTTTGAGCTGTGAAGCACTGGTTCGCCGTTTATTGAATAAAGTATAATATAGCTACATAAACATAAAATAGATTTTGATGTTTCATCATTTTCATGATCTCCTTTTGTCATGACAGACACCCTCAGGAGACCGTGGGAGAAATCTGCCACCATGCCAAGGTAGGGAATGCACCCATCTGTTGAATGTCAGCACAATAAACACCAACATGCTGTCTCTCATACCTGTGGTGCAGGAAATTTGCTACAATAACTATGTTTACTATGGAGGGACAAAACTGGGCGGGCACAAATTCCATCTGTGCCCCCCGTGGAGCTGGCCCTGCCCCTATTTTATCCCACCTCTCTGGCACTGTAAAGAGAGAGTGTGTTTGAGAGAAAATCTTGCATGTGTCAAACAGGACTAACTCAACCACCAAGACCCAGCTGCAGGAGAGCAGCCCCAGCCCCAGCCCCACCACCTCTGCCCTTCCTCCCATTCCCCCTTCTCCATCGTCTACCCCAGTGTCCAGGTACCCCCTATCTACCCCCCCCCCCCTACCCTTTTCCCTTATGCCGGGACTCCACGTCTGTCTGCAGCTATTCTACAGTCTCACTAGTAGTGCTGAGCGATTAGTGCTTTTTGAGGTCGGTTTGGTTTCGATTCGATTATGAAAAAAATGATCACAGTTTTCTATTTATTTTCTTCTTTTTTTACATTAAATGCACTATGCATTATGTGGGTTGAATGCTGTAACAATACAGAATAAAACAATTAATACAAGTCCCATGGTGGTAGTGACTGCCCATTACTGCTTATCACTTATTAACCATAATTTATTCACATGACTTTAATAAAATATTTGATTACTTTATTCCAAGTCATTATCTCATCTCTATAGAGCTGCTGCATATGCTTTCTGACAAAATTACTATTTTAGTAGTTCTTCAAAGTAAATAAGGCATACTTTATGACTGCTGAATACCAACAATCAATCACTTCGATCATGTATTTTCCGGTTAGCGAAGCAACTGCTTTCTATCCCTCTCAATCGCGCGTTTTCTCTTCTTTCAGTCTCTGTGTATTACTCCGCACAGACCTGACAAGTTTAAGCGGGCGCGCAATGGATTATGGTAATTGTAGTTAATTGCCACGTTTTCTGAGCTAAACTATGTAAAATATTGGCCTGTTGGAAACTACAACTCCCTACTATATCGCAGTGTTCAGGCTTGATATAATTTATCTCTAGAGAAACTGCACATTGAGCTCACAGAAAAAAAACGAACAAAATGGAATTCAATCAATTAGTTGTTCAATAACCCCAAATGTTGGTTAATCGCTCAGCACTACTCACTAGGTGTAGGGTGAAGTTCCTCCTAGCAATGATCTTGGGTAAGTTTCCCCACTCATGGTTAAGTTTAGGATTGGGGGTGGGAAGCTGATCCTAGATCTGTACTTAGGGGAAACTTCACCCTGGAGTGAACTGCCAACAGCGTTGTGTGGTCTCTTGTGCAGCTTGTTGTGCCAAGCGATTTAAGCAACACAATGCTATGTATAGCTGTGAACTTTGCACATCTTTGTTTTTGCCCTGGCACTAACACACCTGATTCTATTCAAAGGCTTGATGATGATTGATTGGTTGAATCAAGTGAATTAATTAGTGTTAGGGAGAAAAATAAAATTGGGAAACACTCTGCTTTAGGGCCTAGCAATCCTCAAGGCCATGTCTTTGGTACTCTCTGTTTTTGTCTTTTTGGTCTTGCTGAGATTTTAAAAAAGTATCACAGGAAAAGCACAAGAGGTGGTTTGAGTAAATAGTGTTTTTTGCTGCCGCCTTGCGTTGAGCCTGCTGTGTGTGTCTTTACTATGTCTTCTGACTAAGCGTTTCTGTCCGGCTCCTGCTAATGACAGCACCCTAGTCCAGGGCACGGCCCAGAAACAACCTTCTATACACCCTAGGCACTGGTATAGATGTGAAAGGATTGGATGGGTATAAGCAATATGGAGGAAATCCCACCTAGCCTATCAGAGGGCAAGGTGGTGGAACTACCATATTACTTATACCTATCCAGTTGTTTCAGATCTACGTCAAGTGCCAAAGGGTTAGGGTCTGTTTCTGGACTGGGGTCTCGCTCAAGTCACCACTTGAGTAAAACAATTCTCTCCCCCTCAGATGTGGAAACGAAACTGATTAACTCAAGGCCAGTGGCTATGATAAATTGAATCTGGTGTACTAGTGCTTGATTGGAACAAACCCATTGCAACTAATCAGTGGTGTAAAGTACTTAAGTAAACATACTTTAAAGTACTGCTTAAGTAGTTTTTTGGGGGTATCTGTACTTTACTATTTATATTTTTGACAACTTTTACTTTTACTTCACTACATTCCTAAAGAAAATTATGTACTTTTTACTCCTTACATTTTCCCTGACACCCAAAAGTACTCGTTACATTTTGAATGATTAGCAGGACAGAAAATGGTCCAATTCGCACACTTATCAATAGAACATCCCTGGTCATCCCTACTGCCTCTGATCTGTCGGACTCACTAAACACAAATGCTTTGTTTTTAAATGATGTCTGAGGGTTGGAGTGTGACCCTGGCTATCCGTAAATAAAATACAAATTGTGCCGTCTGGTTTGCTTAATATAAGGAATTTTACATGATTTGTACTTTTACTTTTACTTTTGATACTTAAGTATATTTTACAACTACATTTACTTTTGATACTTAATTATATTTTACAACTACATTTACTTTTGATACTTAAGTATATTTAAACCCAAATCCTTTTAGACTTTTACTCCGGTAGTATTTTACTGGCTGACTTTCACTTTAGTCATTTTCTATTTAGGTATCTGTACTTTTACTCAAGTAATGTAGCCTAATTTGACCCATTCAGTGAAATGGTTTCAACCTCCAATACTAAAAATAACACCCTGACCATTGAAAGTACTTCAGTTTCTATGTTGGTACAACACCAGCAGTTATCCACCCCTCATTAGTCTACAGCTTTCTGTGACGCTTCTGCAGTTAACACGGTGACAAGATGGCTGGTCCATGGCTCCTGTCAAGATCGCCATCTGTTGCCGTGGCAGGACAACAACCCGCCATTTTTGCCCGAACTGAGCTTCCATATCCTTGGGGTTTGTTGTTGCCCTCCCTCTCCCCGCCCATCTCGTCTCTCAATTCACTTCTTTTTTCTTTCTTTCTTTCCCTCCCTCCTCTCTCTCTCACTCCTCTCTCCCTCACTCCTCTTTCTTCTCCTCTCTCTCCTCCTCTCTCTGTCTCTCTCTGTCTCCCTTTATCTCTTTCTCAGGATGAAGGCCACGAACAGCACAGGCAGTGAAGACTCAGAGATGGAGAGAATCAAACAGGTGAGCTCCACCATTGACCTGTTCATGTTATGTTTAAAGGATTATTGGTATGTAGGCTAGAGATAAAAGGGTGACCATTGCTCCCCTACTGATGGTGTCAGATAGAGACGACTATCGGCATCATTCTCAGATAACACTTTATTTTTTTGTATTTTTGGGAAAGCAGGTATTCTTGGTTTCAGAATATCTGCTTAATTGATTGGTGATGATCAGAATGATACTGACTGTGACGAAGATGATGATGATGAAGATGATGATTTGTGTGTTTAGGACATCCTTGAGGAAGTGAGAAAAGAGCTCCATAAAGTGAAGGATGAAATCATCGGTGGTGAGTTCCTGATTTGTCCATCCAATTCAAGGAGCACTCCCTAACTTTTCTTTTTTTATGTCTTTAGCAGTACAGTCAATAAGAATCACAATACAATGTTGCTCCAGCCACTGCAGTATATTCATATACCTCTAACACAGTGGAGGCTGCTGAGGGGAGGACGGCTCATAATAATGGCTGGAACGTAACATACGGAATGGCATCAAATGCGTTGAACCCATGTGTTTGATGTATTTAATAACATTCCACCTGTTCCAGCCATTACCACGAGCCCGTCCTCCCCAATTAAGGTGGGAGAAACTCTCCAAATACAGGTGTGCCAAGCTTGTAGCGTCATACCCAAGAAGACTCGAGGCTGTAATCGTTGCCAAACGTGCTTCAAATAAGTACTGAGTAAAGGGTCTGAATATTTATGTAAATGAGACATTTCAGTATTTTGTATTTTTGCTAAAATGTCTATAAAAAAAACGGTTTGTGCTTTGTCGTTATGGGGCATTGTGTGTAGGTTGATGAGGAAAACAATCTATTTTAGAAATAAGGCTGTAATGTAACAAAATTTGGAAAAAGTCAAGGGGTCTGAATACTTTCCGAATATACTGTATATACATGTGTGTACATGACTTCTTTAAAACTACTTATCTTTGTTTTATATTATTCTCTCAATTCTCATATTATTACGAATAATGTATTTTTACTTTTTATATTATGACTAAATCATAAGACAATGTGTGAGGAATTTTGGGGCCTCTCTCTTTCTCACGAATTTTCTCCCTCTTTCTCTTCCAGCATTTATCCAGGAGCTGCAAAAGAGAGGACCAGTATAGTCTCTCAACATACAGCCACTGGCACCTGGCCAGAAAATGGGGGGATGGAAGGAAGGGAGAGATGGCCATATGGAGGGGTGGATGGCTCATATATTTCCTGCACTGTTCAGGCTCCCTCTGTCAATGTTACACACACACAGACACACACCTATACATTTAGGACTGTACCAATCGGCAGTCTTCCAAACTTTTTTTTTCTCCGTTGTTTTTCTTGTTTGCCTTTCTCATGGTTTCAAGAGCTCTGCTGTGCTGTGCTCCGCCATCACTGCCTACCTTACTCTACTCTACTCTCTCCCTGCCTCCCAAGTCAACTCCCATATCTTACCTGGATGTATCTGGCCTTACTCTTCACTAGTGCAGAGCAAGGTTTGGCTCAGTTTGAATTGGAGGCAGTCAATTCAGGAATAAACTGAAATTCCAATTCAATGATTGAAAAAGGGGTATCTATTTTCAATGACTTCTCAATAAACTGAAAAGGAGAAGCTATTTATGTCAAGTTTTACACATTTTAGATTTTAAATTAAAATCACTTCCTGAATTGACTGACTTCAATTCGAATTGAGCCCAACCCTGATGCAGAGAATTCAGGGAATACCATCAACCACACCATCGAAACACAGTACATTTTCAACAGTCCCACATTTCAAAGTCTCACGCCAACCTAACTGTGGGAAAACGGTTCTGCTGCAGCGGTTGACCACAGGGTGGAGCTGTGAAACAGAAGAATCGGATCCGAGGGCCTGCCTTTCTCTGTAGTCTCTGTACTACCCAGGAGCAGCCAGGGAACTACAAATCCCAGCTTTCAACAATAAGGGAGATCTGGTTAAATATATGTCTGTCCTTCTAGTACACCTAATAGGAGTAGGGTGAAGTTGCCCCTAGATGCTGATCTTGGGTCAGTTTGGCATTTTCCCCACTTATGGTTAAGTCTAGGTTTGGGGGAGAGGAAGCTGATCCTAGATCTGTACCTGGGGAAACTTCAACCACCTTATACTGCCATTTATACTGTAATAGCGAACGGGTTGCCAACTCCTTGCTACACCTCACATCAACTGTTTTTTCAACCTCAGGGATTAGCGGAAGCATATCAGTTAGTGCCAGATAGGACCGTATCAGCAGGTCCTATACCAGTCACCATGCCCACTTCTCCTTAGGATTTAGCACAGAGGACCCCAGCAGACCACCTATGGATGACAAACAGGCCCAATCCCAAATCAACCCATATCCCCTACAACTTCTGCCTCCCTTCTTCACTAGTGGAGATGTGAGAAGATTAGATTGGTGTAAGCAATATGGCAAAATGTCATCCAGCCAATCAGAGAGCAGGTGGAAACTATTACCATATTACTTATGTCGAGCTTATCCTTTCAGCTCTCCACAAGTGCGTAGGGCTAGGGGTCGATTTTGGTATAGGGTGACAATTTGCCACCTAGAAACAGAATGATTGGAATCGGCATTATCCTCTAAAAGCAATTAACTTTTGCTGATAGGATCTTAGATGATTTTAATTGTATCTATTTAAGAATGAAGAATGAATTCTTAAGCACTCCAATGTCCGTGACATTTCCTAGCTCCCTGTGCAGCACGTCCAACAGGTTGCCAACCATATCCATTTCCCAATGACCTGGAGATCCATGCCTGTTCTGTCCATTCTATTTCTACACTCCTAACACTGCCTACTCTTCTAGTAACCACATAAGAAAAGGGTTGAGCGGGGAGAGGAGGAGAGCAGGTAGGGGACTGTACCTGGTATGATTCGGCTGCGGTGCAGGTAACTGCTACGTATCACTGTGCAGTCCAGGGACTCTTACTCGACTGTGTTTGTTCTTATAAAGATACTTAATAATACCCATTATGTTAGCTGCCTCTGTGGCCTCATCCGACAGAGATGCCAATCTTCGCTAATGCAACTCGGCCTCGCCTCCTGAGCACTCTTACAATCTTTATAGATTAAGTGAAAGAATTATAGTACTTAAAAAAATCCATAAGGTTTTCTATTTCCATTGGAAATACTGTGGTAATGAAAATGGAAGCCCCACTAGTAGTGGGCAAAAACTGGTTGAATCAACGTTGTTTCCACATCATTTCAACAACAAAAAAATCCATGTGACCAGGTTGAGTCAACGTGGAATACTGATTGGATTTTCAAAAAGTCATAAACTTAAGGGAACATTGTCTTCTATTTTTAAAACGTTGAATCTAAATCCAATGACATGGTGACATTTGTTGTTTAGTTCACGTTGAATTCACATTAGTTGACAACTCAACCAAATGTAAATCAAAACTAAACATTGAAATGAAGTCTGTTCCCAGTGGGAGGTATCTTTGATTAATTTTTTAGATGCATTATAAATGTTATTTTGGATTTATTGAAGGTGATTTTCTATTATTAGAGTGAAGGATTTTTACACTGAAATGTTGTGAGAGAAAATGCCGTAAAGACACTGGATTGGAGATGCTTTTCTGGTCAAATACAGCTGCTTCTTGTATCAAACTGTGGTCCGTCTCATCTGTTGTTTTGGGTGGGGAGAGAGACTATATGGAAGTATTTTACATGTTTTTTACTCAGCAGTTAAATGTCCTTAAATGTACACCATTTGTATACCCCAAGAATATTCACACCTGATCAGTTCCATCAAGTGGCATACTGATCACTGTCTTAGTGACAACCAAGTGACAACCCAATAATTACGTTGGGCTTGCATATGGAGCATATTGATACAGTGGGGGAAAAAAGTATTTAGTCAGCCACCAATTGTGCAAGTTCTCCCACTTAAAAAGATGAGAGAGGCCTGTAATTTTCATCATAGGTACACGTCAAATATGACAGACAAAATTAGAAAAAAATATCCAGAAAATCACATTGTAGGATTTTTTATGAATTTATTGGCATATGATGGTGGAAAATAAGTATTTGGTCAATAACAAAAGTTTCTCAATACTTTGTTATATACCCTTTGTTGGCAATGACACAGGTCAAACGTTTTCTGTAAGTCTTCACAAGGTTTTCACACACTGTTGCTGGTATTTTGGCCCATTCCTCCATGCAGATCTCCTCTAGAGCAGTGATGTTTTGGGGCTGTCGCTGGGCAAAACAGACTTTCAACTCCCTCCAAAGATTTTCTATGGGGTTGAGATCTGGAGACTGGCTAGGCCACTCCAGGACCTTGAAATGCTTCTTACGAAGCCACTCCTTCGTTGCCCGGGCGGTGTGTTTGGGATCATTGTCATGCTGAAAGACCCAGCCACGTTTCATCTTCAATGCCCTTGCTGATGGAAGGAGGGTTTCACTCAAAATCTCACGATACATGGCCCCATTCATTCTTTCCTTTACACGGATCAGTCGTCCTGGTCCCTTTGCAGAAAAACAGCCCCAAAGCATGATGTTTCCAACCCCATGCTTCACAGTAGGTATGGTGTTCTTTGGATGCAACTCAGCATTCTTTGTCCTCCAAACATGACGAGTTGAGTTTTTACCAAAAAGTTATATTTTGGTTTCATCTGACCATATGACATTCTCCCAATCCTCTTCTGGATCATCCAAATGCACTTCAGACGGGCCTGGACATGTACTGGCTTAAGCAGGGGGACACGTCTCGCACTGCAGGATTTGAGTCCCTGGCGGCGTAGTGTGTTACTGATGGTTGGCTTTGTTACTTTGGTCCCAGCTCTCTGCAGGTCATTCACTAGGTCCCCCCGTGTGGTTCTGGGATTTTTGCTCACCGTTCTTGTGATCATTTTGACCCCACGGGGTGAGATCTTGCGTGGAGCCCCAGATCGAGGGAGATTATCAGTGGTCTTGTATGTCTTCCATTTCCTAATAATTGCTCCCACAGTTGATTTCTTCAAACCAAGCTGCTTACCTATTGCAGATTCAGTCTTCCCAGCCTGGTGCAGGTCTACAATTTTGTTTTTGGTGTCCTTTGACAGCTCTTTGGTCTTGGCCATTGTGAAGTTTGGAGTGTGACTGTTTGAGGTTGTGGACAGGTGTATTTTATACTGATAACAAGTTCAAACAGTTGCCATTAATACAGGTAACGAGTGGAGGACAGAGGAGCCTCTGAAAGAAGAAGTTACAGGTCTGTGAGAGCCAGAAATCTTGCTTGTTTGTAGGTGACCAAATACTTATTTTCCACCATAATTTGCAAATAAATTCATTAAAAATCCTACAATGGGACTTTCTGGATTTTCTTTCCTCAATTTGTCTGTCATAGTTGACGTGTACCTATGATGAAAATTACAGGCCTCTCTCATCTTTTTAAGTGGGAGAACTTGCACAATTGGTGGCTGACTAAATACTTTTTTTCCCCACTGTATATAAAGGCATAATGCTATCACTATAGCCTTATACAATGTTATTATCAGGTTTACTTTGATCAGAGTGACTCCTCTAACAATATGTTTTCTTCAGCAGATAGGAAAATGTCTTGTTGACTTGACATGTTCTGGTTGTGAATTCAGGCAACAAGGTAATTATCCCAGGTATTATTTTACAGTGTGCAGTGTACCCAGCTGTTTGTCCATGAAAAGTGACTAGTCTATGGAACCTCCAATCTTATTCAGAGAGATACAGTATATATTTCCAGTGAACAAAGGTAAGAACTGCAGGTTGATACACGATAAATAGGTAGACTTATAGATGTGACTGTCCTGTTATGTATAGAAAAATAACTGTGGCCACCTGTGTGTATGCACTCTCCATATGTGTACTTTGTATAGCTGTGAAGATTACAGATATGTTCTGAATGACTCCATCTTTGTGGTGCTTAGCGTTACACATAAGGTCTCTAATAACGTTTCATCCACAGAGACCAACAGCAGAGGTCAGAGTCAGAGACCAACAGCAGAGGTCAGATCGTTTGAACAGCGCCGGAAGAAGATGGCTGCCGTTTTACAGCCCTCTAACCAATTGTACTATTATGTGTGTTTTTCCGCGTTATTTGTAATTTATTTTGTACATAATGTTTCTGCCATCGTCTCTTATAACCAAAGAGAGCTTCTGGATATCAGGACAGCGATTACTCACCTCGCGTTGGACGAACACTTTTTCTTCAACGAGGCGTTCGCGAAGGATATTCTACAGACTCCCGACAAGGCCCAGATCCCCGTCATTCGCGTGAGGAAGAGACGGAGATATCGTGGACGCAGATCCGGGTGCCTTGTAAGGATCCGACGGCGAACGAGTAAACTGCCTCTCCCATCAATCCTATTAGCCAACGTTCAAGCTTTGGAGAATAAAATGGACGATTTAAGATTACGGTTATCCTACCAACGGGACATTAAAAACTGTAATATCTTATGTTTCACGGAGTCGTGGCTGAACGACGACAATGATAACATTCAGCTAGCAGGCTATACGCTACATCGGCAGGACAGAACGGCAGACTCGGGTAAGACGAGGGGTGGCGGTCTCTGTATATTTATAAACAACAGCTGGTGCACAAAATCAAATACTAAGGAAGTCTCAAGGTTTTGCTCGCCTGAGGTAGAGTATCTTATGATAAGCTGTAGACCACACTATTTACCAAGAGAGTTTTCATCTATATTTTTCATAGCTGTCTATTTACCACCACAAACCAATGCTGGCATTAAGATTGCACTGAATGAGTTGTACAAGGCCATTAATCAACAGGAAAACGCTCATCCAGATGCAGCGCTCCTAGTAGCAGGGGACTTTAATGCAGGGAAACTTAAATCCGTTCTACCTAATTTCTACCAGCATGTTAAATGTGCAACCAGAGGGGAAAAAACTCTAGACCACCTTTACTCCACACACAGAGACGCATACAAAGCTCTCCCTCGCCCTCCATTTGGCAAATCTGACCATAACTCTATCCTCCTGATTCCTGCTTATAAGCAAAAACTGAAGCAGGAAGCACCAGTGATTCGGCTAATAAAAAAGTGGTCAGATGACGCAGATGCTAAGCTACAGGACTGTTTTGCTAGCACAGACTGGAACATGTTCCGGGATTCTTCAGACAGCATTGAGGAGTACACCACATCAGTCACTGGCTTCATCAATAAGTGCATCGATGATGTCGTCCCCACAGTGACCGTACGTACATACCCCAACCAGAAGCCATGGATTACAGGAAACATCCGCACTGAGCTAAAGGGTAGAGCTGCCGCTTTCAAGGAACGGGACTCTAACCCGGACGCTTATAAGAAATCCCGCTATGACCTCCGACGAACCATCAAACAGGCAAAGAGTCAATACAGGTCTAAGATTGAATCATATCATCAATCACTGGCTCTGACGCTCGTCGGATGTGGCAGGGCTTGAAAACTATTACAGACTACAAAGGGAAGCACAGCCGCGAGCTGCCCAGTGACACAAGCCTACCAGACGAGCTAAACCACTTCTATGCTCGCTTCGAGGCAAGCAACACTGAAGCATGCATGAGAGCACCAGCTGTTCCGGACGACTATGTGATCACGCTCTCCGTAGCCGATGTGAGTAAGACTTTTAAGCAGGTCAACATTCACAAGGCCGCAGGGCCAGACGGATTACCAGGATGTGTACTCCGAGCATGTGCTGACCAACTGGCAAGTGTCTTCACTGACATTTTCAACATGTCCCTGACTGAGTCTGTAATACCAACATGTTTCAAGCAGACCACCATAGTCCCCGTGCCCAAGAACTCTAAGATAACCTGCCTAAATGACTACCGACCCGTGGCACTGACGTCTGTAGCCATGAAGTGCTTTGAAAGACTGGTCATGGCTCACATCAACAGCATAATCCCAGAAACCCTAGACCCACTCCAATTTGCATACCGCCCCAACAGATCCACAGATGATGCAATCTCTATCGCACTCCACACTGCCCTTTCCCACCTGGACAAGAGGAACACCTACGTGAGAATGCTATTCATTGACTACAGCTCAGCATTCAACACCATAGTGCCCTCAAAGCTCATCACTAAGCTAAGGATCCTGGGACTAAACACCTCCCTCTGCAACTGGATCCTGGACTTCCTGACGGGCCGCCCCCAGGTGGTAAGGGTAGGTAACAACACATCTGCCACACTGATCCTCAACACGGGGGCCCCTCAGGGGTGCGTGCTCAGTCCCCTCCTGTACTCTCTGTTCACCCATGACTGCATGGCCAGGCACGACTCCAACACCATCATTAAGTTTGCCGACGACACAACAGTGGTAGGCCTGATCACCGACAACGATGAGACAGCCTATAGGGAGGAGGTCAGAGATCTGGCCGTGTGGTGCCAGGACAACAACCTCTCCCTCAACGTGACCAAGACAAAGGAGATGATTGTGGACTACAGGAAAAAAAAGAGGACTGAGCACGCCCCCATTCTCATCGACGGGGCTGTAGTGGAACAGGTTGAGAGCTTCAAGTTCCTTGGTGTCCACATCACCAACGAACTATCATGGTCCAAACACACCAAGACAGTCGTGAAGAGGGCACGACAAAGCCTATTCCCCCTCAGGAGACTAAAAAGATTTGGCATGGGTCCTCAGATCCTCAAAAAATTCTACAGCTGCACCATCGAGAGCATCCTGACTGGTTGCATCACCGCCTGGTATGGCAACTGCTTGGCCTCTGACCGCAAGG